AGCCCCTAACCCTGTGTTGCAACCCTCTGTCCAGAGAATCTCAGCCCTAAGGATGCCTGTTCAGCCCCAACTCCCTGACCCCAGACAAGAACCCTCATAGACCCAGTCAGCACAACCTCTACCCGGTGACCTCATCCCAGCCCCTCACCTCAATCACTAAAACACCTTTATAATATGGGGCCAGCAGATGGTGTAGTGGTTACATCACTGGACTCCCACATGGCTGACCATGGTTTGAGTCCCCAACCCGGTGACTTGAAACTCATGCCACGTGCCATTTGCATGTGTGCCCAAGATATCAGGAGGAGAATGGAGGAGAAGGGATTGTTGAATGGCCCTCCCCTCAAGAGGATGATTTCTCACTTTCCCTTTCACTGTCTCTGGCTGTCTCTCTTTCCACTGAGTGCATGAGCCCTAAGGCAAAAACCTCTACAAAAAAGAAAAACAGGGCTATAATTACACCTGGGCCATCTCATGCCTCCCACTGCCCACTGCCGCTCCATTTCATTATGCTGCAAATCGCCCACCTCAGACCCTGCAGAGGAGTATCCACTCCCTTACCTTGGGCCCCTGTCTCCTCTCCCATCTGGGGTCCTAGCATGAGGAGAGCAAATCTAGACACACACACACACACACACACGCACACACACATGCACGGACCCAAGCCTCACATTCGTTTGTCTCTTCTAGACTGTGAAGCCACGAATGGCCAGGAGGTCCTCTCCAAGGGCAAAGAAGGAGTCACCCCCACTGATCCCACCAGCCATAGACCTCCAATAAAAAGCCCATGAGTGGCCAGCAAGTGGTGAAATGGTTAAGGCGTTGGACATCCATATGGCCAACCATGGTTCAAATCCTGGACCTGGCAGCTTGAAACTCACGCCAGGTGTGTGTGTGCGTGCCCAAAATCCCGAGAGGAGAATGGAGGAGAAGGGATTGCAGTATGACCATCCCCCCAGGAGGTGATTTCTCATTTTCTCTTTCTCTATCTGTGTGTGTGTGTGTGTGTGTGTGTGTGTGTGTGTGAGCACACACATTCTATTGCAAAAAAAAAAAAAAAATCTTTCAAAAAGAAGGGGGTCAGCAGAAGGCATGTTGATTAAGGCACTGGACTCCCACATGGCTGACCGTGGTTCAAGTCCTGGACCTGGAGGCTTGCTTTCTTGCTTTCCTTCTCTCTCTCTCTGGTCAAATTAAAATAATGATGATGATGATGATGATGATGAATAAAATTAAATAAAATAAGTCTTTAAAAAACAAAGAAGAGACCATGGAAAGAAAGTTTCTGTTCATGCATCGTCTGTGTTTGCCCGGGTCATCTTAGTTTGTGCTTGCCCCAAAACATACATACCCTCAGATGAGAATTCCAGTATGAGTTTCTTGGGAGGTGCTCCCAAGATATGTCAGTTGAAAACTGAGGAAGTAGGGACCAGCAGTTGGTGTAATAGGTATATCGCTGGACTCCCATGTAGTCGACCACGGTTCGAGTCCCGGACCCAGTGGTTTAAACTCACACGGGGAGTGTGTGCGTGTGTGCCCAAGATCCCGAGAGGAGAATGGAGGAGAAGGGATTGTGGTGTGGCCATCCCCCCCTAGGGGGTGATTTCTCGTTTTCTGTCTCTGTCTTTCTGGTAAGCGCACGCGCCCTATAGCAAAAACCTCTCCAAATAAATAAATAAATAAGTAAGATAAAATAAATAAATAATGTGAGGAGAGGAAAAGAAACCTTTGTTACATCAAGGAAGACTCCCATTATGAACCTTTTGAAACTGAGATTATCATCTTGTTGTACAAATAAGGAAACCAGAGGTCAGAGAGAGGAAGTGACACAGTGAGAGAGGGGCCAGCTGGCACTGTCACCCACCCCTGTCTACCCTGAGCCAGAATCATGCTGAATCACCTATTCGCAGAACCGCATTTACCCACTTGTTTTTTTTTTTTTTTTTTTTCTTTTTCAAGAAAACACTTAGAAACTTGTGCCAACATGGACAACTAAAGAATGGACCGTGGCACAGCCGTGAAAATGTGCCTCTGATCCAGGCTGGCTGGGTTTGGGGCTAGGTCCAGACCTCAGGATTCTCTGTCTCTTTCACTCAGGGAAGAAGTACATAAACTTAAAAACAAACAAACAAACAAACAAACAAACAAAACAGCTGGATGAATTTCACAGTAGCACACATCCATGAAATCAGCACCCAGCTTAAGAAATAGAAGAAACAGAACATATCCGGGCCGGCTCTGTGGCTTGGTGGTTAAGCGAGTTAGATCCCATATGGCTAACTGTGCAATTCGAATCCCAGCCCATGACTTGAAAATCATGCCAGGCGTGTGTGTACCCAAAATCCCCACAAGACAGAGTAATGGAGGAGAAGGGCTTGCACTAGGATCATGCCCCATTGGGGGGTCCTTTCTCTGTGTGTGTGTGTGTGTGTGTGTGTGTCTCTCTCTCTGCCTCTAGTGAGTAAGCATGCTCTGACAATTAAAAAAAAAAGTGATGTTGGGGTTGACAGGTGGCATGGTGGTTAAGGGCACTGGCCTCCCACATGGCCCACTGCAGTTCAAGTCCCAGACCTGGCAGCTTGCTTTCTCACTTTTTTTTCTCTCTCTCTCTCTCCCTTCCTCTCTGGTCAAATTTAAATAAATAAATGTTAAATAAAATACTTCGATTAAAACAAAATATATGTCATGTCGGGACCAGCAGTTGGTGTCATGGCTATGTCGCTGGACTCCCATGTGGTGGACCACAGTTCAAGTCCCGGACCCGGTGGCTTAAACTCACGCCGGGCGCGTGTGCGTGCTTGCCCAAGATCCCGAGAGGAGAATGGAGGAGAAGGGATTGTGGGGTGGCCATCCACCCTGGGGGGTGATTTCTCGCTCTCTGTCTCTCTGTCTCTCTCTGTCTTTCTGGTAAGCGCACGCGCCCTATAGCGAAAACCTGTCCAAATAAATAAATAAATAAGATAAATAATGTTAGAAGAGGAAAAGAGGAAAAGAAACCTTTGTTACATCAAAGGAAGACTCCCATTATGAACCTTTGAAACTGAGATTATCATCTTGTACAAATAACAATACCAAATTGAATTAAATAAATAATTCTAAATAAATAAAATAAAATAAATGAGAGGTAGTAGGTGGCATGGTTGTTAAGGCACTGGATTTTCACACGATTGACTGAGGTTCAAGTCCCAGATCCAACCGCTTGAAAATCATCCCAAGTATGTGATATCAGGATATCAGTTTTGTTTGGAGGACTAATAACTGGGGAAGGAGGACAGGGGATGCTTCTGGGTGCTGTCTATGCTTCCATTTATTCACCTCAATTAAATTAAATTCATTCAGGGACCAGCAGTTGGCGTAATGGCTATGTCGCTGGACTCCCATGTAGTCAACCACAGTTTGAGTCCCGAACCTGGTGGCTTAAACTCACGCCAGGTGCGTGTGCATGTGTGCCCAAGATCCCGAGAGGAGAATGGAGAAGGGATTGTGGCATGGCCATCCCCCTGGGGGGGGGTGATTTCTCGCTTTCTGTCTCTCTGTCTCTCTCTGTCTTTCTGGTGAGCGCACACACCCTATAGCAAAAACCTCTCCAAAGAAAAAAATACTAAATTCATTCATTCATTTGGGTTTTTGCCATAGGGCTCATGTGCTCACTGGAGAGAGACAGAGAAAGACAGAGAGAGAAAGCGAGAAATCACCCCCCAGGGGGGATGGCCATGCCACAATCTCTTCTCCATTCTCCTCTCAGGATCCTAGGCATGCATGCACATGCACTCGGCGTGATTTTTATGCCACCATGTCCAGGACTCGAACCACAGTCGGCCCTGTGGGAATCCAGTGCCGTAACCACTACGCCATCTGCTGACCCCCCACCGTTTATGTATTGCACAGTCCACGAACACCTGGGTTGTTTTCAGGCCGGGGTTATTACAGATCTTGCTGTTGGGTGTATCTATAGGCACCTCCCACCTAGCCATGGAATTGCTGCGTCAGCTCATAGTAGGGGCCGGCTCTTTGACCTAATGGTTAAGGCACCTCAATCCCACATGGCTGCCTGTGTGGTTCAAGTCCCAGAACTGGCGGCTTGAGAAGCATGCTGGAGTCTTGTGCGTGCATGCCTAAAATTCCCAAAGGATGATGAGATAGCGTAGACAGGATTAGTGCATTCTCTTCTCTCCCTCTCTCTCTGGTCCTCTCTCTCTGGCAAGTGCACACACCCTCTAAGCAAACAAATCATGCGATGAGATCATGCCAAGTTGTTTTCCAACGTGACTGAATCAATCTAGACTCCGACCAGCCATGGGGGGTGAGGAGTTCCAGGTGCTCCGTATTCTCACAAGCACTTTTTCCACAGGGGCCCATTTTGCAGAGATGGCAATAAAGCACTTTTTTTTTTTTTTTTTTTTTTTAAGAAATAATTATTTATTGGGAACCAGCA